CGAGCTGGCGGCCGCAGAGAGACCCCTGAAGGCAGCTTAGAGAGGTAAGGGGGGAAGGTGTGCACGGTGGTCCTGGCACAAGCTGGGAGCCCCCTGCCCTCTGTGGGGTTCCCCAGTGCCCCAGTGATGAATTTTTAACTCCCCTATACATTCCCCCCTTCCCAGTGGGAAGTCCTTCAAGCCTTCCACCAAGCTGGAGGAGCCCAAGCCCAGCAGAAAGCAGGTAATTGTTAGCACGGTACGGTTAGTGTCCCCAGTGCCCCTCCTTGGTGGGTTTTGTTGGTTGAAGGTCTGTGTGGGAAGCTGAGGAGGAGCAGCATGGTCTGGAAGGGCTCTTGTGTTGTGTGTGGAGGGGCAACCTCCTCCGTCCATGCACGTGGGCCTCCCGGGCCTCCCTGCTGCGGCTGCAGCACCCCGCGGAGCAATTCCCCAATGTGGAGGCTGGAGCCAGCATCACCAGCTCCCTCCAACCCCGTGACACCTAGGCCACCAGCCCAGGCTGGAGACTTGTGAGGATGGACCCAGGCTCTGGGAGGGACCGGTCCTGGGCGCTGGGGCTGTTCCCGTACGGCAAAGGCCTTTAGCAGGGTGCCCACACTAGAAGGTGCTGGATCTTTCACGGGGCTCATGCTCTCAGGTGACCCTGTAAGCCCCGGTCCCTCCAGCCCCAGTGAGCTGGGTACCAAAGGGTGTTTTGCAGCAGGACAGTGAGGCATGAGACAGTGCCCTGCCTGGGTGACCCAGCAGAGCGTGTGATGGACAAGGAACATTTCTGCCCGTGGGTTTTGTCCTCTCCTTGGTGCCTGCTGAGGGGTGGAGATGTTGGAGGGAAGGTAGACCCAGGCTGGAGACTGAGCCAAGGTCCTCGTCCCCTCCAGCCCAGCACATGCCTCCGCTCGGTGACGGCCAGAGCAAAGGCAGACCCCAAGTTTGGGGAGATCTTCCGCTTCGACACCCCTGTGCTGATGTGGGACCAGCACTTCACCCCGGAGACCTGGGACAGGCTGAAGACACGACACGTCCCCTATGGCTGGCAAGGCTTGTCCCACGCAGGTACAGACCCAGCCGGGATGGGGGTGGCAGCAGATGGGGCAAGGTGGGTGACAGGAGGGTGCGGAGCAGCTCGAGGGCCCCAGGGAGCCCAGCAGAAGGGACTGAAGTCATGGGGCAGGCAGAAAAGCTCTGCAGAGGAGCCACGGACCTTGATCTCCTCCCACTCTGCCTCCTGGGGTGCGGGGTGGAGGGGACAGCTTTGCAAATGCCGCTTGCTGCATCTTGTGACATTTTCCCCGAATAAAAGCTCCAGTGTGTGCACGATTATTAACTGGGGCCAGAGGAGCTTGGACAACCCGCACCATTGTTGTGGATGGAAATTGTTTCCCTTCCTACCCCAAACCCACTCTCTGCTCTTCCCGGCAGCTGCCGGCTTCAATCCCTGGGCTGGGAAGTGCTGGGGACGGCGCGGGGGGAGTGAACCGGTGCCGCTGCAAAGAGACATTGTTGGGAGGGGACATGGGCAGCGACATCCGCAGGGCTGGAGATGTCTGGATGTGTCCCTGCGCCTTGCACGGCCTCAGGTGGCCACTGGAGCAGCCTTAGGAATGGGGAGGGGGGGGTTGGCTGCGAGAGGGTGACCACAAGCCTGGGAGAGGAGGGACTGGCTCGTGTCTCCCCACCTCACCTGCAGACCCCTCGCCTGCACCAGGATGGTGTGAGCTTTCTTGCGCGATGTGCTTTCACGTGAGCTTGCCCGTGCGGGCTCTTGCACCAAGCGTGCTCACGCGGGCTGAGGCACACCTTGTCCCTGCTGACCGGCCCCATCCTGCTCCGTTCCAGTGGTGGGCAGCACCCTCCGGCTCCTCAACGCCTCCGCCAACAGGCACCTCTTCGACAGGGACGCCTTCCCCGGGGGCTGCGTCCGCTGCGCCGTGGTGGGCAACGGCGGCATCCTCAACGGCTCGCGGCAGGGCAAGGCGATCGATGCCCACGACCTGGTCTTCAGGTGCGGAAGGGGTCCCGGGCAGGATGGGGCCATGGGTGCTGGGGAGAGGCCAGCCCTGGACACGCGTCCTGTGCTTTTTCCCGCAGGCTCAACGGCGCTGTGATCAAAGGCTTCGAGGAGGACGTCGGGACCAAGATCTCCTTCTACGGCTTCACAGTGAACACCATGAAGAACTCCCTCATTGCCTACGAGGAGTATGGCTTCACCCAGATACCCCAGGCCAAGGTGAGATCCCGAGGGCTTGTTGGGGAGCTGACCCCAAATTGTCTCTTGAGGCTGGACTTGCCCCCCAAACCTTCTCCCCATCTCAGGAGCCCTCAGTCCTCACCCCATTGGTGCTGGCAGTGCCCCAAAGCCCCCCCAAGTGCCACATCCGTGTCCCCCCTGCAGAACCTGAGGTACATCTTCATCCCCTCGGATGTCCGTGACTACGTTATGCTGAAGTCAGCCATCCAGGGCAGCCCAGTCCCCGAGGGTTCGGACAAGGGGGATGAGTAAGTACCCCCCCAAGATCCCCCCAGCACCTTTGGTGATGCACCGGAGGGAGCAGGACTTGTCTGCCCCTCACCCCCTCTCTGTCCCTGGTGGGATAAACCCCAAGTCGCTCCAGGACTCCCGTGACACGAATTCTGCCCTTCTCCTCGTCCCTCTGCAGGCCACAGAAGTATTTTGGACCAGAGGCGTCGGCAGAGAAGTTCACGCTGCTGCATCCAGATTTCTTGCAGTACCTGACAGCGAGGTGAGGATGAGGAGGTCCGCGGCTGCTGCCCAGTTCTGCTCCAGGCTGGGCTCAGACCACCTGCCTCCTGCCACTGCTCTCTCCAGTACAGACCAGTGGCTGCCCAGCATCAAAGGGCAGTCCCAGTCCTCCCCAGCCACTGGCACCACTCTGCCCTGCTCTCTGCAGACAAGGCTCTCCCCTGCCATTCCCACTCGCCGCAGCACAGCTCACACCCCATCCTCCAACCTCCCACTTCCCAAAATAAATTCAATTTTGACCTAGACTAACAGGAGCAGAGTTAGGGCCCGGAGGGATTGTCTTCTCCTACCTTTCACGAAAGCCAGCACCTGGGTTGTGGCGATTTCGAACAGCGGAGAGGTGCCTTTTGGTGACCCGCGGCAAATGAGCTGAACCTTCGTAGCAGCCATCAGAGAACCCACACCAGCCCCCC